TGATATATCAGCGTCGATGGACTGGGAACCCCATACTAGATTAGAAGATTCGCTGCTTCATCATCCGAGCTTCAAAAACCCCAGGCCAGTCCAACGACTCGTGTTCAGGGTTTAGGATGGGTTTAGGGTCCCTAAACCCTAAACCCTAAACTGCAGACCCCAAACTCATAACCCCAAACCCTAAACCCAAAACCCAAAAGCCTAAACCCCAAACTCATAACCCCAAACCGTAAACCCTAAACCCGGTTACCGCAAAGACATCAACTCTTTTTCTGTTCTTGGCCGCAAGTTGCCTTAGGTAGATTTGCACCGGAACCCAGCTGGAATCCAAGACAAACTGTAAGGGTCCACATATGGTCCCCAGAAATCCCCCAAACCCGAAACCAACACACAAATGCGGCGTAAAGCAAAACACAAAGCCCTGTAAGGGCCCATGTGCCCAAGCAGTATATACTTTGGCCCCAAAATACTCATATATAGGGACTATACTTCAAGGCCATAGTATATACTATACCTAAACCCAACCCTGAATCCTAAACCCTAAACCCTGAACCCCTAAACCCTAAACCCTAAAGCCCCTAAACCCTAAACCCTAAAGAGAAAACCTGAACCCCTAAAGCCTATAGCCCCTAAACCCTATAACGCCCCTAAACCCTAAACCCAAAACCCCCTGGGTACTTATAGGACCCTTATGGCCCCTAAACCCTATAGCCCCTAAACCCTATAACCCCTAGGTGCTTATAGGACCCTTAAGGGGAAAGGGGTCCTACGGTCCTTCGCCACTTGGAGCAGCTCGCTGGAGGTCATGTCTGGCGCCTCCTTCAGCTCCTTTCTTGGCGACTTTTGGTGCTCTTCTTAAGGGTTTATAGGGTTCAGGGTTTAGGGGTTTAGGGGTTTAGGGCTTTAGGGGTTTAGGGTTTAGGGGTTTAGGGGTTTAGGGGGCTAGGGTTTAGGGTTTTAGGGTTTAGGGCTTAGGGGTTTAGGGGTTTAGGGTTAAGGGTTTAGGGGTTTAGAGTTTAGGGGTGAAAGGTTTAAGGGCTTAGGGGTTTACGGGTTTAAGGGTTTAGGGTGTAGGGATGTTCTTGTGACTTAGTGTTCTTTTGTTTTAAGGTTTGGGTTTAGGGTCTCTCAAGACTGGAGTCTACGGTTATAGGGTTTGTTGCGCTTAAGATTGGGGTTTAGGGATTACGGTCCAGAGTCCAGGGTTTCGGGTGTCGGATTTAGGGTTATGGGGTGTCAAGCATGAATATGGTGCATGCCTGCGTTCTGACAGTTGGCTTTATCTTTACTTCGTGGAGCAGTTGGACAAGGGAACTAAGTAAATGAGTCTGGCATATAGGGACAGGCAGGGTTTGGAGGCTCAGGGTGTACAGGAATTTGGGGCTTGGGGCGTAGACAACGGCTCCGCAGCACAAGATGGAACCTCAAGGGCGCGCACTCGCGAGATAGTCCTCCGTGCAGCTGGTTATCCATGGCTTCGCTCCGAGTCACGCGATCGGATTGCAAAGCTCCTCGCTGATCTCGGCGACGGTGTCTGGACTAAGGCCTCTGGGCGAGCCTTCGGCTTATAGGCGTCGCCTTTGGCCGCGTGTGCGGCAGCTCAGAGCTGCTGCTGCTGCTTAGCGGCTCGGTGGTGCAGAGAGGATGGCAACAGACCAAAGCAAAGTGCAGTAGTCCCACATGGAAGTGCCGGCAATATGCTGATGATGGCGGTATTACAGGAATGTTCGGGCAGCGCTCCAGTCTTTTGTCGTTCACAGCGGCTTGCTTCCCCCGGAATGTCACTAATCTTCGTGGACAGCTAGTAAAGCTGCGTGTCATGCTAGGCACTTTGCCAATACTTTTACGATCCGCTAACATATGAATGCTGCTACATGCACAAGCCGTCATCGTGCTTACCAGTACCACAAGTCTTCTTGCCATTGTCCAAACTTTGCACATGGCTCCTGTCTGCGCAGGGTGGCAACAGCAGTACTAATGGCTGCTGCTGCTGCTGCTGCTGCTGCTGCTGCTGCTGCTGCTGCTGGCACTCCCACTCCTACTCACCTACTCCTGCTCCTACTCCTGTGCCTACTAATAAGGTCATAAAAAATAGTAGCGGTGGTGGTGGTGGTGGCGGTGGTGGTGGTGGTGGTGGTGGTGGTGGTGGTGGTGGGTTGTGCTCTCAACTCAACAACAACTGCCACTATAACTAACGACTACGACGACGACGCCGGCGACCACATAAACTCTAAACCGCAAACCCTAACTCCAAAACAACCCTTTGCGAAACAACCTGAGACGAGTCAACGGCGAGTTGGAAGGTCCTGTCGCCATTCTCGATCTTCCTTCCAAGTGAGACACAGCGGCTAAGGCTTCGGGTTTTCGGCTCTGAGGATGTTTGAGGTTTTTTCAAAGCTGTGAACTTTCTCTCTTGAAACCCTGAAACTTGCGCCTAAATGCCTGAACCCTACCTCATAGAACCCTGGAAAGGGCCTTAACGGAACACCACGCCGAGAAGTTCCCCGCCATCCTGAGAAACCTAAAGCGAAGAGCGAACCACGTCAAACCACTGCAATTAAGAAACACCGGTCTGGGGTTTAGGGTTTAGGGCTTAGTTCCTGAAACGAGCTCGTTGTGGCGCTGAGTGATGGGCTTTAGGGTTCAGGATGGTTTAGGGATGTTTAGGGCTTACCAGAAGGTCCACAAGGTACGCGCAATGGAGACCTGGTGTTGTCCTGCACTCCCCCCAAAAAGCTGACTCTTTAGGAAGTTTAGGGCCTCTTACGATGATTCCCTGACTGAAGTCCTTGAACAAACTAGGTACTAAACCCTAAACCCTTAAACAAAGTAGGATCTTAAACAAGGCCGGTTCGGCGAGGGCAAAACACTGTATGTAGCTGGAAGGTTCTGATCACAGAGACCCTTTGTGGGGTAAGGTGGACGGGGTAGGGGGCCTGTTAACAGCCCTAATCAATATGGACTTGGTAAGGGTCTCGAAAGGCCTGTACAAGGAAGGAGAGTAAAACCCAAAACCCAAAAACCTTAAACACAGCCCTAAACCCTCAAAAATCCAAAAACCTTAAACACAGCCCTAAACCCTCAAAAATCCAAAAACCTTAAACACAGCCCTAAAACCCTCAAAATCCAAAACACCTTAAACACAGCCCTAAAACCCTCAAAATCCAAAACCCTTAAACACAAAACCCGAAGCCCTAAACCC